CCCTCCTCTCTATTTATTTCAGAGCTCCTTTCCCCCTCCCCCATTTCAGAAGAAGGGTCCAGACCCGAAACATCAGCTTTCCTGCTCCTCTGATGTTGCTTGGCCTGCTGTGTTCATCCAGCTCTATACCTTGTTATTTCAGATTCCAGCATCGGCCGTTCCTACTATCTCCTCCTGCACTATATTTTTGGTTTGATTCGATAACTCACAATGTGTACAGTGTCATTCATGGCCTCACAACACATCAAACCACTTACAACCCATTACATGACTTCACTGCAGTCTTGTAGAGAAGATAACAGCTAATTTTGAGTTATTGTTTGGAGGATACACTTTGGCCCAGGACACCAGGATGATGATCCTTGTTAGAACCACCTGAAAGTGTACACATGTCCCCTGCTTCATGTCTTATCCTCAGTCCGGGATCTGACAGTGCAGCACTCCCTCAGTGCTACACAATATTATCATGAGGGATCTTACAACTCCAGAGAGAGGATCACATGGAGTCATAGAGCTGTACAGCACGGAAACAGACCCCTTGGTGCAACTCAATACATGGGGCACCACCACCTGTAAGCTCCCCATCCAAGCCAGCCACCATCCTGACTCGGAAATATGTTGCCATTCCTTCAGTGTTGCTGGGTCAGAATCCTAGCATTGCCTCCCTCAGGGGGCTGTGGGTCTACCTACAGGGCTGCATTGATTCAAGAGGGAGTTCACTACTACCTCCTTCAGGGCTACTGGTAACGAGCAATAAATACTGGCCCAGCCAGGAATACTTACATTCATAAGTGAATAAAAGATAGAAAGAATATGGGAAAGGAGAGATTGGAACGCAGGGATGAGAATTTGACAGCATCTTAACCACTCCCGGTCCTTCATGCAGCTGGCTCACATCAAGAAATTTCTCTTAATGCATTTCCACACCCTATTAATCATTACCTTAGACTGATGGACCCCTTGGGACTTAAACAACAAAAATAGCTTTCCTCTATTTACACTGTCTTAACACATCCACCATTCTTAACAACAATCTCTTAAGTCTTCTCTTCGCTCCAGCAGGAACGGTTGGAATATTTTGAGTTTTCTCCTCATACTTATAGCTTCCCAACCTTTCCAGCATCCTACCCTGTGTGTTCCCTAAAGATTTAATGCTCTTTCTGTAATGCAGCACTCAAAATTAAATCAATGGAGGTCAGAGGATTACTGCAGTTTGAAAGACCCAGAGGGAGATGGAGTTGAGACTCTGCGGTCTTTAAGAAATTCCGTCTTTTAGATGATGCATTTGGAAGGTCAGACACCAGACTTCAACAACAAAAGTCATATTAGTCAAACAGTATTGTCAAGTCATGAAATCCATAGAAAATAGGAGCAGGTGCAGGCCATTCGGCCCCTTCAAGTCTGCTCTGCCATTCAGTATGATCACAGCTGATCATCCAACTCAGTCCCCTGTTCCTCCTTCCTCCTATTCTCTTTGATCCCTTTAGCCCTAAGAACTATATCTATCTACTACTCGAAAAGGAGAGTTACAGCACAGAGGGAGGCCATTCAGTCGTCATTTCCATGCTGACTCTCTCCCCCCCTCCCCCACAAACCATCCTTTTTCCCCAGAACCCTGTGCCTTTCCCCTTACAGCTAATGACTCAATTCTCTCTTAAAGGCCTGAGTTGAATGTGGCTCCACTGTACTCTCAGGGAGGACCTCCCACATCCTAACCACTTCCTGTGCGAACAGGTCTTTCCCAATTGTTGCGTTATGTCTCACAGTCAGTCTGACGGAGTGCCAGTATTGGATGTAAGAGACATGCTCATGATGTTATCTCTGCATCAAAGGATATGGTCTGAGGGTATCTTACTGTGTGTGTGGAGTTTGCACATTCTCCCTGGGTCTGCGTGGGTTTCCTCTGGGTGCTCCGGTTTCCTCCCACAGTCCAAAGATGTGCAGGTTAGGTGGATTGGCAATGCTAAATTCCCCGTAGTATCCAGGGATGTGCAGGTTAGGTGGATCGGCCATGATAAATTCCCCATTGAGTCCAGGGGTGTGCAGGTTAGGTGGATAGGCTATGGGAAATGCAGGGTCATGGGGACGGGGTGGGTGTGGATGGGATGCTCTTCGGAGGGTTGGTGTGGACACGATGAGCCAAACAACCTGATTCCGCACTGCGGGAATTCTATGATCTTCAAAATCACGACGGCTCAGGACAGAACACGTCTAACGAAAACCTGTTCACCTGATCCGGAAACAGAGAGCACAGATTTAAACATCATGTGAAATGGTGTGGATTTGCCTCCAGCACCATGTGTTTACCTGATGCAACAACATTTCTGTTCTTCACTGAGCATACGAAACATGGCATGGGATATTGTCGTGTTGAGGAATGCAGCAGAAAGTCTTTACAGTGAACTAGTACATACAAATATTACATTTGTCTGGCACATTAGGCTATTAGTTATAACTATGATTACAGTAGAATTCCATGCTTCAAGTGATCCAAGGTAAAATAGAGTATGAGAGAAAACCATAGAATTATAGAATACCGATAGAACACATAGAGGCCACTCGGTCCATCAAATTGCAGTGATGCTCTGAGAGGATCCCACTGTGTCCCTGTAACCCCACATTTCTTCCCTTTATTCTTAAGAACCATATCTATCACCTTCTTGAAAACATTCAATGTTTGGGCCTCAACCGCTTTCTGTGGTAGAGAATTTATCACTCTCTGGGTGAAGAATTCCATGGAAAAGTGGAGATTACTACAATAACTCCACAGACGCTGGTATCCCATCACCAAGTCCCCCTTTATTTACATGCGTATGGCATTTCACACTGTTCCGGCTCCC